TCAACTTTGAATGCTCATATCTTCTACAAAAAAAATCCGAAAATTAATTTTACAGCAGATTCTGAATCCATGGGAAATTTCCTGTCGAATAAGTATGGTTAAAATCGTTTTTGCGACAACGACTTTTCGATTTTTGCAACGGCTTTTGTTCGAGAGGCGCTACTGTGCGTCGTATGCAGACGATTATGTATTGGGTGTACAAGTAGATAACCGCCGTTTTCGACTAGGTGGTGCCATCTTCACAAAACGGTGAGAAATTTTGATCGGGAACGCCAAATGGCGAGCTAAAATATCGGTAAACAACTCTACATTGTCTCGTTCGTGTATTTTTATTGTCGATCAATTTGTTGGTGCACAAAAATGTCGAAATTCGAACCGAATAAGCGTCATTTGCTGGAGATTTTGCTTTTCGCGTTCAATTTGAAAAAATCGGCAACTGAAGCACGTCGAATGATCGTAGAAACTTATGATAAGTCGTGTATAAGTGAAAGAACGTGTCGAGAATGGTTTGCAAAGTTTAAAAATGGCGAGTATGACGTGGAAGACAAGGATCGACCGGGTCCTATGAAAAAGTTTGAAGACGCGCATTTGGAGGCTCTGCTGGATGAAGGTTCTTGTCAGACACAACAAGAACTCGCGGATTCCTTGGGTGTGACTCAGCAATCAATTTCCCTTCGCCTAAAAAGCTTGGGAATGATCCAAAAGCAGGGAACATGAGTGCCGTACGAGTTGAAGCCAAGGGACATTGAGAGGCGTCTCTTTACGTGCCAGAAAAGAAAAAAGTTTCTTACATCGTATCGTTACCAACGATGAAAAGTGGAATCCTAAGCGGAAAAAATCATGGGGGCCACCCGGCCATGCATCGCTTCGACAGCAAAGCCAAACATTCATGGTTCGAAGCTACTGCTGTGTATTTGGTGGGACCAATTAGGCGTAGTGTACTACGAACTTTTGAAACCAGGCGAATCCATCACAGGAGCACTCTACCGGACCCAGTTGATGCGCATGAGCCGAGCGCTGAAGGAAAAACGGCCACAATACAAGGAAAGGCACGATAAAGTGATACTCCTACACGACAACGTCCAGCCTCATGTTGCCAAGGTCGTAAAAACTTACCTGGAAACGCAGAAATGGGACGTTCTACCCCACCCGCCCTACTCTCCAGACATCGCTCCTTCGGATTTCCACTTGTTCCGATTAATGACGCATGGCCTCGCTGAACAGCACTTCCGATCATACGAAGACGTCAAAAATTTGCTAGATCAATGGATCGCGTCCAATGATGAACAACTTCTCAATATTTTTGCTAAATCATCTCTAACCTATTATAATATGTGACAAGTTTGAACTTGTCTTTTTCTTTGTCCACAAAAAAAAATCCTGAAGATTGTCTATTTTTTGGCACAAGTAACCAGAATGGACCCTTAACAAATTATATTCATTTTTTAGTCAAAAATCGGTGTTTTGACATCCAATTTTTATAAAAAGTCGGTGAAAAATTAAAAAAAATTAAAAACGCCACGTATGTACCTTGGGACCCTTACCCTTTAATAATGCATTCTAGTTTTTTTTATATCGTATGTTTTAGTTGGGATGAGGACAGTTAGAACGTACAACGAAAACCAACTTTTTTCAGGGGACTCAGGAGAATCCCTATTACTCGTAGACTTGTGAAATCGTACGATTTCCACCAAAACGAAATCGAAAAAATGTACGATTACCGGATCAGCCTAATTTGACGCACATGGCCAAACTCCAAATAAACAAAAACTGTGGGAAAAAAGGAAGAAGAAGAACTTTTTCCTTGTGGTTTTTGCTGGTACTGACAACGAAAATGATACCTGCAAAAATTTAAAGGGGCTGCCAGATCAAGAGAGCTAACAGCTGCTATTATTAATCAATCAATTATTCTTACAGGCCTAATACTGTCTTCCCACTCAGCGCAGCTGTAAGGAAGGGTTGGGATTTTTTCCAGATGCGAAACTCGTGTTCCCACAGAGCTGCGTCAAAGTGCATCTGCATCAGATTACAGCTGATCGATCAGCTGTGGCTCATGAAAACGTAAGCAAAAATGAAGTAAAATGAATAGTTTGTAAACTATTTCGGCTGTTTAACAACAGCAAAAGCACAGATTGCGTCCGATTTTATTTGATTAATTAGATGACGAGGAATTTGAGTTTCTCTAATGATTTTTCTCTAACAAAGAGATAATTCCCCGATGGGTGTGTATAGGTGGTATAGGCTTCCCAAATCTATAAAATAAAGTAGAGGTAGGCGTTTTATATTAAATAGTAGCAATTGGAGACACTTTGGGGCAAGAATTGTTGTGTCCGCCTTATCGGTAATCGCGAAAATATCGATAGGTGGGTTCAAAGGCTACCAACTTGGCCAGATTCGAAAAGGGTTTATTCACCCGATAAAGAGGAATAGCAAAAACCTAACGGAGTTCTAATGGCGTGGTTTTCGACTTCACTGCCTCCGTTAGGTTTTAAGCGGAATAAAAGAGCGAAACTTTGAGCGCGAGACCGCGGTGTGACGACGACTCGGCGTTATGTTTGTGTTGGAAACCAAAAAAATAAATGAAAAAAAGCCGCCGAAATAATTTTTTTTTGGAAAATAAAATGTGAAAATATAGAAGAAAAAAAAAGGAAAATGTGAGACATCCGGAAGTGGGGACCTAGGAAGCTGGATCGGCAAACCATAGAGGTGAGTGGTCAGGGACCAGGCAGGCCGTTACGAGAAAATATATATATATTTATACCCTTGCAGGGTATTATAATTTCAGTCAGAAGTTTGCAACGCAGTGAAGGAGACGTTTCCGACCCTATAAAGTATATATATTCTTGATCAGCATCAAGAGCCGAGTCGATCTAGCCATGTCCGTCTGTCCGTCTGTCCGTTTCTACGCAAACTAGTCCCTCAGTTTTAAAGCTATCTCAATGAAACTTTGCATATAGTCTTCTATATGCTCTCACTGCTATATATGTCGGAACGGGCCGGATCGGACGACTATATCATATAGCTGCCATACAAATGTTCGATATATTTTTAGAAAAATAATTATAACTTTGCGGTTTTTCAAAATTTTTGCACCATTTTTTAGATATGGCCATTTTATATTATTTCGGAATTTTGGTAAAAATTTTATGAAAATCGGACGACTATATCATATAGCTGCCATAGGAACGATCGGGAAATTAATAGAAAAAAATTATAGATTCGTTGTTTTTCAACGTTTTTTCATCTACTCCGGGATATAAGCTTATTTTATTATTCTAGAATTTTGGTATAAATTTCAAAAAAATCGGACAACTATGTCATATAGCTGCCATATAAACGATCGGTAGATGTAGGGAAAATGTAAAGCTGGAAATGCAAAACTGTAACTGTCAAACTGTAAACATAATAAGTATAGGTAAAATGTAATGAAATAATATCTGCAAGGGTATACAAACTTCGGCGTGCCGAAGTTAGCTTCCTTTCTTGTTTTTTTAATATAGAAGCCGACCAGACCTAGGCTCCAAATGAGGAACGCCATGCCAAGATCCGGGCCTGGCGAAATTTTTGGTGCTGGAGCATGAATTTTTTCTTCCCACATATTTTTTTTTATGCTGGTGTGAGTTTCTTTGGTGGCCGAATATTTTTTGAGCCGGCGGTACATGTGTTTTATGGCCGCATAATTTTTTTTGACTGCGCTAAATCGCCGACTTTCCTCGACAATCCCTTTGGTTTGCCGGCTACCGAAACCGCACTTGCGGCACTAAACTTCATCCCGCCACTGGACGTTCGAAGATCGGCGGCCGACGTTGGGCCGACACGCCCAGGGAGGGCGGCAACGGGAGCCACCCAAGGCTTCAGCCTTTTGTATTATTTATTCATTGTTTTGTTTTATATTTATTTATTTATTCCGAATAATTCCATTATTTATTTATTTATTATTGCTTATCTTTAATTAATTATTTATTTATTTATTAATCTTTATTCCCCATATTTATTTATTTTTTTATTCGATTTGTTAAACTTTTATTTTGTGTTTGTTGCCTAGCGATTGTTTTTGGTTGAATTATTGGTTCGAGGAGGCGAACTCCTGAATATTCCTCACCCCCTTTTTTTTAGCGCTCAAACGGGTAGGAAGGGAATTCGCTGGTCGCAGTTTAGTGTTACTTTTGAGTGGTTAAATAAAGTAAAACCGAAAGAAAAGTTGGGCAAGGACAGAATAGTTCATACTTGTACTTTTGGGAATTTAAAATTATAATTAAAAGAAAGGATTGAAAAAATGAACATGGAGTAGTCCTTTTTTCTGGGAAGGAGGAAGCGAACTATGGCGTGAGGTGAGTGTGTGTATGTAAAAAAAAGAATTTGGGGCAGCTGCGTAACTAGATTCTGCTAGCAGCCTGCCAAGGATGGGAGGGAAAGCAGGCGAGCTCCACAACAGCGAGGAGTCTCAAGGAAAACTGACCGTTAAAATATGTAGGTATCGTTAATGAATGTTTCGTCCAGTTCGAAGTTGTGCAAGTATTATTGCTGTGTAACGTCTCGTCTTAGTCGAGGGCGGAATGTTTAAAACAATAAATTTTATCTGTTACGTGTGTCAGTGGGCCGGGCCAAGAACCTGTGCCTGAGAGAGCTAGCCGAGGCATGGCCCTATAAGACAAGAAATTTGTTCTACATTCAAGAATAATTGCCCTAGGCGTTAGAAAGGTTTTGTTCTGATTTTAGGGCAAATTTTTCTCCGATCTAGGGGGACTAACCTTTGGATCCTTTTTTAAAGCGAATTTCTAAATGTTCGTGCGAAAAGCTTTTTTATGACGATTTTAGGTTAAAATGTTTATGAGTGTAGTTTCTGCCGAATATTTAAGCTCCTATTACTAATGCTTCAGCCCAATTTAGTAGCAGGAAAGTTGATTGATCTCCCTTTCGTTAATTTCATCCCTTGAAAGGCATGACCCAATAATAAGTCTACAGTATTAACATGATTTTTTTCTTTTATTTAAATAGTAATTATACGCTTATAGTACACTTAATATAGTCAACAAGAAAAAAATATAAAATGCAATGTGTGTTTATAAACTAGTTGTGGGGCCTTTCTCATAATATCACTGATCCATGGGGTAGATGAGACCGAGGCCGAAGCTGCTGCGCATGCGCTCGATTGCAGCGGCGGGAATTCCCCGGTCGAGCAGCTGGCGCTCCGCCTGCGCGATTACTTCTCGCATCGTGCTCAACATCCTTTCACTCTTCTTCACCTGCTCGCTGACGAACTTGTGTCGGAAGCGCAGCTTGGCTTTTTTGATTTTATTGTTGTAGCGTGACTTGCGGCACGACTCTGCCCGTTGACGCTGCACATCCCTGCCCTCCGCTCCAGATCCCGAACCAGCTTCCGGCGATGGTGATGGCGTTGGTAGCATGGTATTGAGCGGCGGTGATGTCCGACGCTCCACAACAATAGGATTCGCCAACAGCATCTGGTTCACATAGTTCTGCTCCTGTTCGTTGTAGTGTACCTTGAGTTGAAGCAGCTGCTGGTCCACCAACTTCTCAATATCTTCCGCCTTTGAGACTGCCGGTGCGTAAGGAGCGTAGACGTTACCCACGTTGCTGTAGCCCAGTTGTGTATGCAAGTGACTCTGTTCCATTATGCGCTCTAGTACGAGTATGTCTGTGTCTTCTTGTGGCAAAGTTTCGATTGCTAATGATGCCATGGCCCCTAAAGCATCCTGATTTTATACCCTGCATCAGGTAGACACACTGCTCTTCCATATATGCTACCTTCATGAATGGTCGAAAACGGTCGATTTTATAACCTTGTTTGTGCCGCGGTCGGTTTCAGGGGCGCCGCCTACCTGTCTTGGGATTGGCTATCGAATCCGGAGGCTCGAAAACAAAGGGATTATGGGGGAAAATCTACCTATTCCACAAAACAACAACCGAGAGTCAGTGATAAGGGGCCGAAGGCACTAGCGAGCCTAAATCCATAAGTCTATAGGCCTGATGTTGGGTATTTCCATTTTCAAGTTGTCAAAAAACTAAAGCGCTGTAGTCAGGTGTCAAACCCCTAAATGAGCAAATCATTTTCTGATCCCTATCGTCTGATCCAGCCCATTCCGACATTCATATATAATAATGAGAATAGAAAATAGGCTAACTGCAAGGTTTTACTCAGAGAGCTCAAATACAGAGACCCTAGTACATACATATGGTACATGGTTAGATCGACTCGATGTAGCTCAAGATTATACTTATATGTACTTATTTTATACATACATACTTATAGTACATATTTTAGCGTCGGATATGATTGCTTCACTGCGTTGAAAACTAGTCACAAAACTATAATGCCCTGAAAGGGTATAAAATAACTCAAAATTATAATTTATAGATCAATGTCACGCATATAATTTATCAAAGGCAAGCATAAGGCGTTTTCACTTTCTGATTAGTACCACGCTTGTTAGTAAACTAATATTTAACTAATTTTAAACTTATGCGATTTTACAAAAATGAGTTTCATTGTTTTGTCTTATTCAATTTGAAGAAAAATCGCACGGGACATTTGAGAAAGCTAAAATGCAAATCAAAAATTTTACCGTTAAGGGTTATGGCATATTCTTTTGTGCTTTTTTTTTTAGACTTTTGCATTGTTCAGCATACATATATTTACAATTAAAATATTTTACATATTTTAAATCTAAAATATTTGTATTTTTCGATTTGAAAATCTCCTTTTATATATCCTGTTAGTTTTGGATCAATTGTTAAAAACCGCAAAGGTATACAAACTTCGGCGTCCCTCTTTTTCTGTGGAAATGTCTATACCTAGAAAGATTTTCATTTCATTTTTATTTTATCCCAAGGCTGCCAGTAATATTTTTCTTGCGTTAGCCACAGCATGCTTAGCACAAAAACTATATCATATTGCTGCCGTACAAATTATCGACAAATTTTTAGACAAAAACAAGAAAGGAAGCTAACTTCGGCACGCCGAAGTTTTTATACCCTTGCAGATATTATTTCATTACATTTTACCTATACTTATTATGTTTACAGTTTGACAATTACAGTTTTACATTCACACCTTTACATTTTCTCTACATCTACTGATCGCTCCTATGGCCGCTATATGATATAGTTGTCCGATTTTCATGAAATTTATACAAAAATTCTAGAATAATATAATTAATAAGCTTATATCTCGGAGTAGATGAAAATACGTTGAAAAACAACGAAGTTATAATTTGTTTCCTATTAATTTCCCGATCGTTTCTATGGCAGCTATAAGATATAGTCGTCTGATTTTCATAAAATTTTTACTAAAATTCAGACATAATATTAAATGGCCATATCTAAAAAATGGTGCAAAAATGTTTAAAAAAAGCAAAGTTATAATTTTTTTCCTAAAAATTTATCGAACATTTGTATGGCAGCTATATGATATAGTCGTCCGATCCGGCCCGTTCCGACATATTAGCAGTTAGAGTATATAGAAGACTATATGCAAAGTTTCATTCAGATAGCTTTAAAACTGAGGGACTAGTTTGCGTAGAAACAGACAGACGGACAGATGGACAGACGGACAGACGGACATGGCTATATCGACTCGGCTGTTGATGCTGATCAAGAATATATATACTTTATAGGGTCGGAAACGTCTCCTTCACTGCGTTGCAAACTTCTGACTGAAATTATAATACCCTGCAAGGGTATAATTATAGCTTTGTTGTTTTTTAACGTATTTTCATCATTTTTGAGATATGCCAATTTTTAATAATTTCAGAATTTGGTTTTAATTAATTTATTCTATGTATAGAAATACAATTTTTTTGAAGAACAATTGGACGCATTTCCGCGAATGTATCGTATGTAGAAAAATCAAATTTTTTGATTTGATCTCTTAGGAAACACTGAACAAACGATAAAATTGAAACTTAATTTTTATCGGAACTATTGGGTTTTCAGTTATAATATTTCACAGGATAGTCAGACATTAGGTGCCTAAAAATTTTGCATTAAAATCTCAATTTCGAGAAAAAGCGACATACGATACTTTCGCCGAAATGCGTCGAATAATAATATTACAATTTAGTGTCAACTTCAGCTATCTGTGTGCGGGCCTAAAAAAATTTTAGCTCACTGATAATGCCCATATGATACTGTAATGCAGTTTTCATTAATTAGCTACTTCATTAGAACCTTGAAAGAGTCCACTATATGTGTCATTTTGCTTGGATTATTTTGGTAACACGACTACGGTCACACCGACCGTAAAAGGTAAACAAAAAAAACGGCCGCCATTCGCGGCGTATTACTATGAATTTCAGAATTCCTCGTCGAAGTATTCTTGCATAAATAAATGCAGAATCCTTTAAATTTATGTTTTTAACCTATGATGCTTAAAATTTGTTTAATTATTACCAAAAAAAAAAATTTTAATTAATTTTACACCGCAAGAACCTTGCCACCGCAAAACATATTATATTTCCTAATTTTCTAATATTTTTTCAGTTCAAAAAACCAGCGAAATTATATAAAAATAAAATTCTCATTGTGAGACCATACTGTCAATGAACTGGCTAATACATTTTTCAATTACAATTTTCTTCATTAAACCCGTATTTTGTTATCGAGTATCTAGTATTTTTATGTAGATCTATCGATTATCGCGCCAATGAAGTAGCTAATGCATTATTCTAATGCATTAGAGCGCCATATAGTCGTCTTGCTCGCACTTGTGTAAAACGCTATAGCGCTGTCAAATCTTTAATGAAGTCTCTAATTAATGCGGCAGTGTCATGCCAGTATAAGCAGCTCAGGCGTCACATCCGCTTTTAGCCGCTAGTGTGCGCGTTAATAAAAATTAATGTTTTGTGTTTTTTTCCTTAGCCGAATTTGATCAATTTCTAGTTTAATGAAGTCATATAATATATTTTGCTTCTCCGAAACTTTGCGATTTCGATTTTGAAATCGAAAAATCGGTGCTCCGATTGTCGATCATTGTATGACAGCCATATGATATGTATGTATATAACAGTGAGAGTATTCAGACTATATGCAAGGTCATTCAGATAGCTTTAAAACTGAGGGACTAGTTTGCGTAGAAACGGACAGACGAATAGACGGACATGGTTCATGCTGATCAAAATTATATATACTTTATAGGGTCGGAAATGTCTCCTGCGTTGCAAAATTCTGACTGAAACTATAATACCCTGCAAGGGTATACAAAGGAAATGGGTTCATGCTATTTATAAGGACAGATAATTGTTGGCCGAATTTCACTATTTAAATCATTAACTGTCGTTTAACCATAAACTTGGCAATCGAATTTTATGAATAACGCGCTTAAAAATAAATACATGCATCAGCTGCTGACATACATATGTATCTGCCAATTCTCAGCCTAGTCACTGATTTGTTTAAATCTACTTATAAAATTACCTACGTTTCTATGAAAGTACTTACATATATCATTTTTGGTAAGGGAAAAGATCAAGTTATGGAAACTATAGATATGGCTTCCTACCTGTCATTTTTGTTTTTTCCCAAGTGTTGATAGGTATGAATCGGGATGTGGAGACAAACCAGTTACGGATTGTTGCAGACCGTTGGTGGGTGGATGATGGATTGATATTCCATTAAGCAGGCAGATCGCCGCTAGTAGAGTAATTAATTGAACAGGCCTAGTGAACGTAAATTGAAAAAAGTTCATGCATACATGGCTAATTGTCAAACCCAGCAAACCATTTAAATCGCGGAAGAGTCGCTTTCTAATCTCCTGTTTGGAAAAAGTGTATGTACATCCAATGCGATTCTTCTAAAGGAGTCGCTGGCGGCTCATCTGAAGCTTAGACTAGCTTTAAAAGAGTATACTAGTTTTTCTTTTATTTATTATACCCTTGCAGGGTATTATAATTTCAGTCAGAATTTCTGTCCGTCCGTCCGTCTGTCCGTTTCTACGCAAACTAGTCCCTCAGTTTTAAAGCTATCTGAATGAAACTTTGCATATAGTCTTCTATATACTCTCACTGCTATATACAAACTTCGGCGTGCCGAAGTTAGCTTCCTTTTTTTTTTTTTTTTTTTTTTTTTTTTAATTTTGTCATTTTTTTAATAAACCTTCATTTTTCTTCTTGATATAATATAAAAAATAGAAAATGATTACGTTTTTCAACTTAACATATCTTAAATTTAACAAATTTACAAAAAACAATTCTTGTTCGTAAGAATTCGGGAACTTTCGTAAAAATTGAAATTATTATTTGTTTTTATTTATTTTACTATATTTTAAATAATACCTTTCATGGTTGAAAATACATTAAATAGTTGAATGCCTGGTTTTGCGTTCACAGTTATATAATTTTATATAATATAATTATAATGTTAAACAATGATATTTAACCAGATAAAAAGTGCACATACTTTTGATCAGCATCAATAATAGCCGTATGACACAGGCGCATTAATTAGAGACTATTAAAGAAAAAAAAATCTACACATCGATATTTTTTTAAGATATTTTCAAATATCATCGAGTGATATTTTTTTTAACAGCAAATATCATCAATACGATATTTTTTTAAAAATCAACAACCCTACTAGAAATGTGTAACTGTAATTGTCAAACTGTAAACATAATAAGTATAGGTAAAATGTTATGAAACTTTTTTTGTGTATGTTTTGCATT